GAAGCGATACTGTAATGGTAGATGGAAGTGTTAGGAGACGGGGTAGGCTTAAATTAACGTTGGTTAGTGTTGTAAATAGAGATATGGATCTACTTAATTTGACTAACGAAATGGCCTTTGATAGGGCCGTGTGGAAAAGAACGATTCATGTATCCAACCCCAATTGATGGAACTTAACGTTTGGTTTGGTTTGGTTTGGTTTTGTTTTGAATAATATATGTTTGGGTGATTACTTTTACGAATTATCTTCCAGTTGTTGAGGCAAATTCAGTTGTGGACACATGAATTTGATAGCGATTCCGACAATGTCAGACTCTCTCTCTCTCTCTCTCTCTCTCTCTCTCTCCATATTTGTATATTTTAATTTTTAGATTTAGACATTTTAAAGAACTTATCAGTTAAAATTCAAAATTTTGGAACAGGGCATGGTGGTGAAAGTACCTGTTTGCAACAACAAATGTTCGGTTGGCTCACATTGTGATGATCATAACTGCTTAACTAAGATCATTGGTGACTTGGTAACTGTTCTTTATTACCATGCTATTATGCTAAGCTGAAATTTGATTATGTGGAATTTACTGCCTAGGGCTGCAGCTTTCTTCATACACGAGATAATTATTTTTGGTTCTTTGTATCATTGTTGTTGTTAAATAACTCTACATGTCGTAGGTGGTAAAATTTAAGAAGTATTGTTTTTATAATGTATGGTTTGTGTCTGCCATATTCGATGCCATTGAAGAAAACTTCAATTTTGATAGGTGTCACGAGTCAATAAGTGGTCCAATGAATGCTTGATATGGTGAGAAAGCATGTGTGTGTGTGTGTGTGTGTGTGTGTGTGTGTATGTGTGAATGTATTCTATAATGCCAAAAGAAAGGAAAAGTAGTCAGTTGCCTCTGGATGCATACACACATCATGTGGCTAACCACTAAAAAGCCACTTCCCAAAGAAACCCTAAATTGGGGTTGGATCATGGATTTGGATAGAGATTTGGAAAATGAGGAAAATATGAATGAAACATAAACTGAGCCAAGCCAAGCCAAGCCAAGCCAAACCAAACCTTAAGTTCCATCAATTGGGGTTGGATACATGAATCGTTCTTTTCCACACGGCCCTATCAAAGGCCATTTCGTTAGTCAAATTAAGTAGATCCATATCTCTATTTACAACACTAACCAACGTTAATTTAAGCCTACCCCGTCTCCTAACACTTCCATCTACCATTACAGTATCGCTTCCCTTCACTACTGCCTCTGTTGGCCTCCGTTGAATATGACCAAACTATCTCAATCGATTCTCTCACTTATCTTCTATCGGTGCTACTTATCTTCTCTCTCTGTTTGTTCAGCATGCATTGTCGAAAGATTCACATATAGTGAAATGTCGTAATACAATTATTTGGCCTGATTTGCGCAGTACATATTTTCAAAGCTCTTCACATATGGTGAAATATTATCATATTATGGTTATGATTTCATTAGAAAGTTATCTGCCTGGCCTGGGGAAAAGAAAAATTTATCTCATAGATTTCCCATTTCACTATTTACCAGAGTAGACAAATATAACCTAAAGCGCACTTGGTAAAGGCCTGGGAGTTAAGACCCCAGGTCTCAAGTTCGAAACTCCTTGGGTCAATTCCTTGAGCGTAGCGTAGTTGGTTAGGAGGTTAAGTTTCAAGTTGTTATTACCACAACACTTGGTGTGGGTTCGATGCTTTCCCACTGCGCGAGGACTTAAGTAGAACTTGTCTTGGAGGGTTGGGGTAAGTTTTCAGGTTATAGTTTCTTACTCGGAACGGACAATAAGACACCTTGGTGATCTCTGCGAGAGGCGCTGCCTTGGATCTACGGGAGAGTGAGAGGATTTTCCTATAAAGATTGTTTAGCTGCATCACTTATCTAGTTCTTGATGTTTTCTTACTTTCATAAGGAACTTGAATCGCTGCCTAGCTGACAGAGCAGTGGTTCCATTTCTACTCTTGACCTTGTAAATTGTTGTTTCCGTACAGATACTTCTGCTACTAATCGAGAGTCAATATGTTCAACATTTGGCAGGCAACATTCTTGTGGCCATCTCTGATTACATTGTTGCATCTGTATGTGAAAATTTGCTACCTTGAAAGTTCAACTGTTTTTTTGTTTTTTGTTTTTTTCTTGTGATTTATCTTGCAAAACTGTATGTTTTACAGGGAGGCAATTGGGATGAATTTATGCAATCATTGTGTGTTTGCTTGGAGTTGTTGATTTCTAATGCTCTTTTGCATTCTTTGGTGCGGGCATCTACAAAAGCCCTGGTTTTGAAGCATGATTCATCAAGTGCCATTATTGCCTTGAAATCAAAACTGAAAAATGCAAATTGGTCTTCAGTGGCTTGCATTATTCGAGTTTTACGCAATATATTGAAATGTTTAAAGCAAGACATTGAGGATCAACTTCTCAAAGTGTACTTGAATTCAATAAGTTATTGTCTTGCAAGTGTGCCTTGGGATTCAATGGATGAGGTCCATGTTGGTCAGAATGGCGATGCTCTTAGAAAATCCAGTGAGGGTGCTTTTCACACTAAAGCTGTGGAACTAGAGTCCAGCATTGTGTTTCGTGGAACTCTTGTTCAGCTTTTCTGTTCCTTGCTTAATCAAAGTGGTTGGATGGAACCTGCTGGTGGAGCTTTAAATAAGCATCCGGTTATTTGTGAAATCAGTAACCTCATTCCTAGACTTTTAACCTGGTGCCTTTGCAATGGGGATTCAAACAACATGTGCATGTCTGTGTACTTTAGACACAAGATGTTGGTATGGATTTAGCTTATCTGCTTTTTAGAAGTGTCAATGTTTCTTAGTTGCTAGTTCTTTTCTATTTACTCTTGTATTGTTCCTTTTGTTTTTATATCTTGGGGTGAGGATGGAGAGGGTGTTTATATGAAAAGAAGGGTGCACTACATGTACTCTTTGATGCAGCTACAACCTACAAGTGAAGCAGTGTCAGAGATTTGCAATTGCAAGATAAGGAACTGTGCATCATTAATTTGTTGCAGAAGTTTTTCACTTTGCTACATCCAACATAACTAATGAACAGCTTGAACCAACTCGCTCGTTTTGGTTAGCTTGCTTCATATCAATTGGAATGTTGTCAACTTGACGTGCCATTTAGATCTTCTTTCATGTGTCATGTTCGACTTGTTTTTGTCTAGTTTTTGGAACAACTGCAGTGATAAATATCTACTACCTCTCCATGTTGCTAGTTAAGATGTATTTTTTCATTGTATTTCTATCGCTCTAGAGGTGTTATTAAGTTTCTAATCCTATCTTCACTTGCTCACTATTGCTGAAATGTATATTAACAGCGTGGTGCTATTACATACATTCAAAATTATGCCACTGATTAGGTTGTTCTCCGCAGATGCTAATGGTCAGGCTTAGCTTCCAGATCCATTTGGAATATTCTCTTCTTGTTTCATGGTTGCAACTTATGCACGAGTACTTTGAAGATCTTTTGATGCAACCAATGACTCAGCTGGAGTCTGATCAGGAGGACATTCTAGAAGGCTCCCCAGTTTTAGCGAGTGTTTCTGATGCCAGAATACATAATGTGACTTCCAGACATTCACAAAGGCTTGCTGTTTTCCTTTTCCTGAGGTGTTCCTTTAGTTTGGTTGGCTTGAGAGATAAAGCTGCTGACCAGTGTGGCTGTGCAAATCTGAAGAGTTGCTTGAAATCTGATTCAAGTTCTGACCTTGAGCGTTACAGTAGAAAAAAAGATTTATCAGAGCTTTATGGGTGGCTTCAAGGGCATCTTCCAGCTGAAATGTTCATAGGCTGCAAATTCTATTCTGAAAGATGCACCAGCTTTTCCTTATCCTTCCTCAGGCTATTTATCCATGAGGTTATCTCCGTACTCCCTTAGAAACTAGCTTTCAAACTTTATAGATTCTTCTGAAGGATGTATGTCTTTTGCCTATAAGTTGATTGATCCATGGAAATCTAGATTGAATGATTTGCATATCTACTTTCTTGGCTTATACAATGTACTGAAAGTGCGCAATATTATGGTCTTTCTTGTAGGTACTCTGTGCTTCAACCTAAGTTCAGTTTATATAGTTGCTAGTGTAGCTTGAATGGTTATATTGATTTATTAATCGTTTTATTTCTTGTTTGTAGAATATGTGCGTTTCTTTAGACCTGCTATATCCTAATTTTTTGTCTACTGTTGATTTGTAGGACGATATCCTATTTGAAGTGCTTTTGCAACTGTTTCACGTGCCCTTTGGTGGCAAGCAACAGTAAGCAACACATGCTAGAATATTTTTAGTGGTTATTAATAGTATTGGTTGCAAAAGTCTTTAATGAGTTTTTTGTTTGTATGTAGGGTCTGCCAAGACAGATGTGATGATATGCTTTTTCATGTTTCAAACCTTTTCAACCCCATACACCTATTCCATCTTTTTCTTGCAGAGGCAAGTTCAATATTTATAGATAATGGGAACAACTAAGACTTCTTACCCCAATGTATATACTTCTATTTCATTGATACAAAGCAAATGCCTCTATGTTCTATTCTTCACTTACCGGGCGAAGTTATTAAATAAGGTAATACGTGCACTCCTAACTTGTTTGCAGTTACACTATGATCATCAAGTGCTTCTTGATTACCTAATTTCAAAAGATACAGGTGCCAAAGCTGCTGAATATCTGTTGAGGTAGTTTAGTTACTTGAATTGTACTTTGATATTTTCTCTGAAGTTGTGAATACTAGATTTTCATGAATCATATGCCTAAGAAAAACTGTTGCCTGCTTTAGATATGTTGAGAAGTGCAGGTTTTTTATCGCTTGCTTTAGTTAGGCAATGTATTTTCTTTTTCAGATCTTATTGCTTGGAGTAGTTGATGCAAACAAATGCAATGCATTGCAAGATAGTACTAGAGGATGGAACTTTGCCTGAGCTCTATCTCATCCTTGTATTTGTATGAATTTGGGGGTGTTTTCAATGAGCTTCTCAGTTTTTTTTTTGGCCCCTTATTAGGTCTTTGCGTGTTGTATGTTATTCGTGGAACGTATTTGTGGAATTTTCAGCAGAAGGGAAAGTTACAAATGTGAGAGACATACATAAATCATCTGGCAAGAAAAGAAAAGTTCTTGTTGATGATTCACTTATTGAGGGACATCTAACCTCTTCATCAATGAAAAGCAAGGGGATTCCTCTGTCACTCGGAAAGCAATGTCAGAAAGCCCTTATGCGTGGCAGCAAGCATTGTAGAACTACTAGGTTACCATTTGAGAATGCCAAGGATTGTTTGCTTTCACTGAAAAAGTCTCTGCAGAATCTCCATAAGAAAAGTTTGTTTCCATATAATCCACAGGTTCTTTTGCAACGGTGTGCTTCTTTTCTACATATTACATTTCTCTCATCAAATTGTGAATTATAGTGCTATGCTTCCCGTATTTACTCACCATTCTTACTTTGGTGCAATATTATTTAACTTGGTGAAACCCATTTCGTACTAATAAAATGGAAAATTTCTAGAACTATTATTCTCTTTTATTTTTTTGATCCCCCTTGTTAGCAAGTACATGGACGCACTGAGATTAAATAAAGAATTCACACCTTTGCTACTGTTGAAATCTAACTGATACCTGTAGGTTCATTTGTTTGTAATTGAAATATGTAGAACTGAAGCTTATGTTTCTTATATGGCTAACAGTGAATGTTATTCTCACAAGCTGCATTCCTTCTGCATGTTCAGATACTAAAAATAAAACAAAAAAAGAGGAAGAAGAAAAAAAGAGTGCATATCCAGGTCATGAATCTAATTTTTTCGATTCTTTATCATCGTTACCTTTATGTCTATGTTTATGTGTTTATGATAGAGTAACATTTACTCCAGTCAGTCTTCTCATTTCTACAATTTTGATGATATGCTAATACTGATTTGAAGTGGTTTAGGAAGTGGGTTGGTCTATAGTAAATTTGTTAGTGAACATTGTTTCTGATTCAAGGGTCTTCATATATTATTGTAGTATGCAATGTGCTGGTTTAAGTTTTTGGAAGTTTGGTATCTTTTTCTACAAAGTAAATTTTTTTTTTCAATGTGCATCCATCCATCCTTGAGTACTTATGTATTTAAATTTATTTCTATATGGTGTATTTTTAATGGTTCTTGGATGTCTCCTATAATGAAATCACTTGTTCTGGTGACGTCTACTTTCTGCAAACCAACTGATTACTTTTACTCTTTAATGCTGAGATTAATAAGCTGTGAACGTCATGACCGCTGAGGGAGAAAAAAAATCTGCTGTTAGGCTTTGATGACTTGGTTGTTACCCATTGCAGTTTAACAGAATTTCAGGAGCTTTGTCTCAAGCAGTAGAGTAACGTCCAGAGAATGCAGGAATTAATTCCTGGGGATGTATCATTTTGCCAATTATCAGTTTCTTTCCTTATCTCCCCTGGATTCATTTTCTGACTTCTGAACAGAAGGTTTTCCTCATGGTGGCCCAGAATTCATTTGGGGGCTGTGGTTCCCCAGAATTAAAATGGTACGTTTTGGATTGTGATGGCTTGTAAGGGCTAACCATGCCAGAAGTCTTCATCTGAAAATGTTAGAAATTGATGAAAACAATTGTCATGGCAATGGAGAGAAAAATGAAATTTGTTCTTGGTTTTGATGCTTTGTGGGCAAAGGTCTTGTATGGATTTTTTTAAAATGACGGTTTTCATGAATTGATCATATAAAAATTAGTGATTAAGATATTGTTGATTTTCTTTTTTTAATAATAAATTGACTTATTCAATTGATTGATTGACTCTTCATAACTTCCGTATGTAATCATTTTGAAACATGTGTCATGTGTATAATTTATGGTCGAATGCAGATGTATCTTTTAAATAAGTAATCAGCATTTGATGTGCCCCATGAAACAATTTACATGGAAGTATGAGTGTATAAGAAAGTAAATAGTAAACTAATGTGAGATAACGTCTTCTGCAGCAGGAGGAGATGGAGAAGAAAGAGGGGCACTTTGTCCTTGTTCACGAGATTGCAGTCATTCCTGAGATTGGGAGGTCACAAGGTTACAGATTTGGACTTCACTTTCTTTGCTTATTGCTCAAAGTGGCCGGACAAGTCCCCTCATTCTTGGATACTTTACGGTGTTGATGGAGTTCATGGGGTCTCTCCCAGTGATGATAAGATGATTCTGGTAGGCCTGAGCATAGTAATATCACATCTGTTGCTGTGGAGTGGTTCCCTCCCTCAGAGAAGTGCTGTTGTTTGTTACTGCTCTTATGCTGGGTTCTAACCTAAAAACTATCACTTTAAAGAAAGAGGTACTGATTCTCTTGTTTATTCATGGGCATTCACACATTTTTATGTACATAGCCATGTTAAATCTTGAACACTCTGCCAAGATCAATATCTTGTCCGTTGACCCATAATGATTGAACTGCATGAGTAATAAAAATTGTGAATCATTGTTTATATATGCTGATTCACTTATACTTGCAATTAGCACATCTAATACTTGCAGAACAGTATTTGAACTTTAAATTCTGCATTATAATTAAATTGCTCTCAAAGTTGATGGACGTGAGTACACAGCAAGATAACTTTCTTGAGATTTTTTCTCAAAAATTTTCATCATCAGGTATTTGGTCAAAAAATTAAAAAAAGTCTCTTATAATGAACCAATACAAACAGGGCCCTTCTTCTGTGTTGCAAGAGCCGCTGCTGATCTATTTCTTCCACAAAACTAATGTTTGATGAGCATGGGCCTTTACATGGTGTGCATAGTCAAGGTACTCAAACACATTTGGCTGACTAAAGCTTCACAAAAATTCAGGCATGAATGCTATCAGGAGGGCAGCTACTAAGATCTTCCCTGGGTACTTTTCCATGTCAAGAGCTTAGCTCAAGCCACCGACAGCTGTGCCCTGCCTGTACAGGAATAACCTTTTTCATTTGGAGGAATTGATGCCATGATCTCCATTAATGGTGTAGAATACTCATGAAGTGTATGGACCTCATTTAGTGTCTTCATGTTGACTTCAAAAATTGAAAGGTGAAGCGTGGTGATCCTATGACTGAAGTACTTTGAGTCTTGGTTTCAGCTTGAACCAGATGCTAGCACCGTGATTTAGTCTGTGTACTAGAATAGAAACAAAACGCTTGTGTTTCCTTGTTGCAACCATTTTTCTTATTCAGCCTGTACTTCCCTCCGTTTCTTGTAGAGATGATCAATTGAGGAATTGCAGCTTGCAACTAGTGTATGTTGCTAGTCCTCTAAAGCATGACAACACTAATGTTGTGTTTGGTTGAGGGATTTGAGGAGGGATTTAGAAAGGGAAATAGAAAAAGTAGGTGAAATATGAATAAAACATGCCTAAATTTCACATAGTTTCACACACCTTTTTCCTTTGCCTTTTCAAATCCTGTCCCAAATCCTCCAACTAAACACACCATAAAGTAATTAGGTGAGAATTCTTACAGGTCAATTAGATAGTGTTTTGAACCCACATTTGATTAATTAGCAGCCAGCAGGGAACACTTAAATTTTAAGCTTATTAGTATGTTCATGTGATTCTTATTCTACTAATAATTACATGCGGGATCTATTATTTTTGTATTTAATAGTGAGAAAATTAACTACGTTTGAATTGTGAGATGATGTGAGAAAAGGAATAATTGTGGTTTCTCATTTAGGTGAGAAGAAAAGAAATTTTTAGGATCTTTTGTTGTCAAATTCCATGGAAAAACCAAGGTTGTAAGTTTCCTATTTTTTTCAGGTTTTTGTCTTCCCGCTCGAGCGGGGATTGCACTCTCACAGCATCTCTGCTACGCCTGCACAAAATACTGGATGTGGTGATTTTACGCTCGAGCGTGGCAACTTTCACTCGAGCGTGGACCTTATATGAATCACGGAATATACAGTCTCCGCTCGAGCGTGAAATCCCACGCTCGAGCGGACCACGTGATCTCAGATTCTATATATTTGCATGTTGGGTCAATTTTAAGATTACTTCTCCTAGATCTTGTTTAAGGATTTTTGGGTTTTGTTTGAGGTTTTCTTCTGAAGATTTTTGTGAGTTTGCCTTGATAAAATTGAATGAGTATTACACTCATGAATTGAGAAGCACATATCAAGGAGGTTGATCGAATACATACAAAAGTGTTAATCTTCGGTGGATTCTGAAGATTCAAACGTAGAGTTTCAAAGGCGTTTGATTTTGTACATAGTCGTTGATTCGATAAGTGAAGTTGTGGATTCAACTTCAAGTTGATCATTTCCGAGACGAAGGCTTGGTGAATGAGTTACAGAAAGTTTGAAGACAAATTGACTGAGTTGGGTAATTTGTGTGTTATCTTTGTAATCTTTCTTTTTTTAGTAGCAGATTGATTAGTGGCGTTTTGCCCGTGGTTTTTGATTACAATTGAAGGTTCTTCAATTGTGGTTTTTTCCACGTAAAAATCGTTTGTGTCGATTTATTATTGATTCCGAAAACAACAATCTAAATCACTTTCGTAAGTGCTTGATGATTTAGATTGTGTGTGTTGAATATTTGGGAATTGGAATATTTTAACCCAGATCTAATCATGAATCACTAAGGATTTATAATTGGTATCAGAGCAGGCCACTCTTTGTGTTTTAGCAAAACTATAGAAGTGTGATTTTGTGTGACTAGTGATATGAATTCTATTCGTGAAAGTAACTCGACTTATAGACCCCCTTTACTCGATGGTACAAACTATTCTTATTGGAAAGCTCGTATGAGAGCGTTTTTAAAATCCATCGATGAGAAAGTTTGGCACTGCGTGATCTATGGGTAAAGTGAACCTATTGTCACCATTGATGGTGCTGATATTCCTAAACCGCTTGATAAATGGGACACAACTGATTACCAAAACTCGAGTTGGAACAGTAAGGCTCTCAATTCCCTGTTTTGCTCCGTCACACCTGAAGAGTTTCGTCGTATCTGCACGTGTGAGGTAGCAAAAGAGGCTTGTGACATTCTTGAAACGATTCACGAAGGTACTACCTCTGTCAAAAGGTCAAAACTTCAACGTTTCACCTCCGCCTTTGAAACCCTTTTTATGTGTGATGATGAGACGTTTGATGATTTCTATGCAAAACTTAGTGATATCGTGAATTCCTGTTTCACACTCGGTGAAAAAATCCCTGAAGCTAAAGTTGTTGGAAAAATTTTGAGGTCTTTACTCGAGAGGTTCCAATAAAAAGTGATAGCCATTGAAGAGGCTCAAAATGTTGACACCCTCAAGCTTGATCAGTTGGTTGGAAACTTGCAGACTTATGAAGCCCACCAGATTTCAAAGAAAAAACAAAAAGAGAATGTGACTTTCACTAGTGCTCATGAAACTGCAAAAACTTCGGGGACTGAATTTGATTTAGATTCTGAGATGACGACTATGTTTACTAAACAGTTTAAAAAATTTTTGAAGAAAAAGAAGCCTAATTTCAGATATCCTACTTCAAAAGACAAGAGTAATGAAAAATTCAAAACTTTTCCACCAAAACTTGCCCCAAAAACTGAAAAGAAGATTGTAAAGGGGCAATGGGTCAAGTGCTATGAATGTCAAGGATTTGGTCATATTGCCCTTGAATGCTCTTCGAAAAAGAATCGAAAGAAAGTCTACACTGTGACTTGGGATGATGAAAGCAGGTCGGAGCAAGAACTCGAAGAACCTGAATTCGATGAAGACGGGGATAGTGCTTTCATGGCATTTTGGTCCACTTTCACTCAACCTCTTCCAAAGCCAGCGGAATTAGCTCGTGGTCAGAACCTGCATCATGCTTCCACCTTTGATCGGAGTAACTACCTGTATTGGAAGATCAGAATGAGGGCGTTTCTGAGAGCTTTTGACCCAGAAGGCTGCAAGCCATTGAAGAAGATACAGAAAGTGCTGACAATCTGAGCAATCAGAGAGCCCTGATTACTATTCGTGGAGCAATTTCTGATGAAGAACAGCAACGGGTTGCTCACTGCACAAAGGCTAAAGATGCATGGAAAATTCTGAGCCAATTCCATGAAAGAGGAGATTCACCTTCACCACCATCCAGCAACTTTCCTGCCTTAGTTGCTAGATTGGATGAGGTCAAGGAGAATGAAGAGCAAAAAGAGGATGATGAAACATCAGAAGACAATGATGAAATTAATGGTGATGAACTGCAACAAGCTTATGAAAAGCTTTACAAGGAATCTCTGAATTTGTCCAAAATCAATGACAAACCCTCTCTCAAACTCCAAGCATGTGAAAGTGAGAATGTCAAGCTGAAAGGAGAACTTGTAGCCGCAAAGCAGAATATCATCAAGATCTCAAATGACAGGCAAGACTTATGTGGAAAACTTCTATCCTGTGAAACTGAAAGGAATGAACTTCTGAAGGTGTATTCCACATATGAAGAAAAGCTTGAAAGCCTTGAGATGTCACAAGCTACACTGGAAGAGATAGTTTGTCAGAAAGATGAAGAACTCCGTATTGCTAGAGCCACTATTGCCATGTGGAACAAATGTTCCAAATCTTTAGAAGACATCCTCGGGTCTCAACAAATGGGTTGTGACAAAAGTGGGCTAGGCTATGGTGCGACAGCTCACAAGGGACAGGCCTCTACTTCCCATGACCTGAAGACTCAAGCAAAGGGAAAGCTGAAGGTAGACCAGGGTGATCCCTCTCTTCATCTACCTAAAGGGGGTAAGACCAACAAAAGGGAGGTAAAACCTATTTTTATTTGTCATCACTGTGGTAAGTATGGCCACATTCGTCCTTATTGCTATAAATTGTTTGGTAAGGTGTCTCAAAAGGGTAGAAATTCGAATACTTTTTGGGTTAGGAGACAACCTTACATGTCTAGGCGGAATACCAAAATTCATAAGGGTGCTCACAACGCCAAGACATTTACTAAGATCAAAAAGATTTGGGTGAGAAAAGATGATTTGACTTGTTTAGTTGTTCACACTGCCCTAAAAGCACGTGACTCACACATGTGGTATCTTGATAGTGGGTGCGCTCGTCACATGTCTGATAACAAATCCTACTTCACCTCCCTTGAAAAATATGAAGGAGGAATTATTACCTTTGGAGATGGCGGCACTTCTAGAGTCATTGGTAAGGGCTCTATAAGTGTTGTTGGTCTTCCCAAGTTCGAAAATGCTCTTCTTGTTAATGGTCTTGAAGCAAATCTTTTGAGCATTAGTCAAATGTGTGATTCCCACCATGAAGTATTGTTTTCAAAAAATAAATGTGAAATTTTGGATAAAAAGGGAAATACTGTCTTGCATGGGGTTCGCACATCTGATAACTGCAATGAGATTGTTACTACTAATGATCTCATTTGTCACTCTGCCATCATAAGTAACATTGATTTGTGTCATCAAAGATTAGGTCATTTGAATTTCAAAGACCTGACTAAGATAGCCAACAAAAAGCTTGTGAGAGGAGTACCTAAACTGGGTAAGAATCTGAACCATGTGTGTGGACCATGTCAACTTGGAAAGCAGACCCGTGCCCCTCATAAAAAGGTGAACAGCTTTACAACCAAACGTCCTCTTGAATTGGTTCACATGGATTTAATGGGTCCTACTCGCACTGAAAGCATTGGAGGTAAAAGATATATTTTTTTAATTGTTGATGATTTTACTCGATTTTCGTGGGTAAATTTTTTAAGGAAAAAATCTGATACGTTTGATGCTTTTTAGGCCTTAGTCCTTAAAATTCAAAATGAACAGAGTGTTTCCATTGGGTGTATCATAAGAATCCGAACTGATCATGGTCGTGTATTTGAAAACAGTTCGTTTTCGAATTTTTGTGATATGCATGGAATTAAGCATGAATTTTCTGCACCTATTACTCCATAACAAAATGGAGTGGTTGAGAGGAAGAACGAAGTTGTTCAAGAAATGGCTAGGGTCATGCTCCTTAGTAAGAAACTTCCTCCAAAGTTTTGGGCTGAAGCCCTAAATACTGCTGTTTATGTCATAAATCGCGTGTATTTAAGGCCCGACACTTTACAAACTCCATATGGATTGTGGAAGGGATTGAAACCTAATGTAAAATACTTCAAAACTTTTGGAAGTAAGTGTTACATTTTCAAAGATAGAGAGCCTTTGGGCAAATTTGACTCTCGAAGTGATGAAGGTATTTTTTTAGGGTACTTAGCCACTAGTAGGGCTTTTCGAGTCTATAACCTGTGAACTTCTGCTTTAATGGAATCTATCAATGTAGTTATAGATGACACAGGTTTCCCTACTCTAACAACAAATGAGGATGACAATGGTGAGTCTCCAATCTTGGTTACTGAACCACAAAGTCAAAGAGAAGTTGAAGTCCAAACACTAGAAGTTGAGACGGCACCATTCTCACAGGTAAGTCAAAGTCCAAAGAGTGCACAAAGAAACATCACTCCTGATGGTTCAGTCACCGCAAGTCCTGAGTTCAAACCATCAGTAAGGGTGAAACTGAATCATCCAGCTCAACAGGTGATTGGAAGTGTATTGGATCGAATGAAAATCCGAAGACAGATTCGGGATGAGGTATCACATGTGTTATGTTTCATTAATTGAACCTAAGAATTTCAAAGAGGCCTTACTAGATGATAGTTGGGCTAATGCTATGCATGAAGAATTAGGCCAATTTGAACGTAACAATGTTTGGACTCTAGTTTCCAGACCTAGAGACATGAATGTGATAGGTACCAAGTGGATCTTTAAAAATAAATTTGATGAGAATGGTACTGTGGTTAGGAATAAAGTTAGGTTGGTTGTTCAAGGCTACACACAAGTAGAAAGTGTTGACTATGATGAGACGTTTGTCCCAGTTGCACGTCTCGAATCTATTCGTATTTTACTTGGTGTTGCTTGTTATCTTGGTTTCAAATTGTTTCAAATGGATGTGAAAATTGCCTTTTTGAATGGGTACTTGAAAGAAGAGGCATATGTTGAGCAACCAAAAGGGTTTGAGGACCCTAAATATCCAAATCATGTCTACAAGTTAGGCAAGGCTTTGTATGGATTGAAACAAGCCCCTCGGGCTTGGTATGATTGACTTACTACCTTTCTTCTTGATAATGATTTTCAAGGGGTAGTGTGGATAAGACCTTATTTGTGAAACATACTAGGTTTCATATCCTTGTTGCTCAGATTTATGTTGATGATATTGTGTTTGGATCCACTGCTAATCATTTTGTGAAATATTTTTCGGATTGCATGACACATGAGTTTGAGATGAGCATGATGAGAGAGTTGTCTTATTTTTTGGGTCTTCAAATTAAACAGTCTCCTTCAGGTATGTTTG